TCCATAAACCAAAAGATGAATTAAATAATACTTTTATCAGAAAATGAAGGTCTTAATGCACCAAAAAATAAAAAGGAATTCATCTAACCAGTTAGCAAAAACTTTTGAGCAGGAACAAGAAATACTAAGGCAAAGATCTTAGAGAGGCTCTCAGAAGAATACTACTGACATACCTAAAATTTGCTAAAATAATTCAGCTAGGATAAAAGATGTCTGGTTTGCCAATTCATATATTACTGTACTGCACTCTGAGGTAACACTGGTGGAGGCCTTAAGAGTCTTTCCATTTTAGAGTGTCCACTACAAGCTCCTGACAGCATCTAACATACATTACTTGGCAGGAACAACAGAAGAGTGACTCTGATCATATGGAAATGGTGAAAGTCATGAAAGTCTATATGAGAATTTGTGTTGCTGGAAAAAAAAAAAAAAAAAGCAGGGGATTGGGTTGAATATTAGGTTGCTGGTCCAGCTGAAAAGGCAAAGAATGATGATTTAGAACTTGTTAAATGGAAAAAAAAAAGGCTGCCTTGCTGCCACTTCTGGGGCACAGTGAAAGGGGATGATATCACTTCCCATCTCCTGCTGCTTTCCATACATGTATGGAAATGTCCCATGCAGGGACAATGTCCACAGGTAACGACGGTGCAGGGACAGCTGCGACTCGATAGAATATTCACCGTGTACATCTACCTTTAACACCCAAGTCTGTAGCTCTGTTACAGCAGCTCTACCTGTGGTGGAGGTGTTGGGAAAATGTAATATGGGAAAGACAGCTGCTGGGTGACATGCATGTCACGTAGCTCTGTTGTGAGCTGTGCTATTCAGTACTTTCTAATCTAACATCCTCAAAATCTCCTAAGACAGCAGTTAAAATTTAAACAGGCATTCTGAAAACACACTTGTGATCCCATTATCGGTATCGTTGATGGGATTACAATGAGGGTGGTAATGGTGGAAAATTTTTAGGAGAGATCTAGTATCAACAGCAGGAGTGGCCACTAATTGGATTCTTTCTGTGTCACCACAGAGTTGTCACAGGACCCTGTCCTCTGTTGAACACTGCAGCTCTCAAGGCACTCAGAAAGGAGCTTTCTCAATTGTTATCACATCAGTCTGCCTTCCCACTCAAATACAAATCCCCCAAAGCCCTTTCTAAAGCTAAGAAAATCATGGAAGCCATGACTCCCATGACATCCTCTGCAAGTGTCCGGCCTCGCCAGGATAAGAGTAAGTCCTGGCGTTACACAACACTCAAACTCCTGATCCCGCGTGAACAAACATTATATCGAGTGCAGTATGTAAGTTAAACAAAGCTAGATAATAAACTGCAAACTGTCAAAATAGTCTGCAATAAAGTGATCTCGGCAGAACAGAATTTGCAAATCTTTCAAAATAATTTTTTCCATAGCTTTCTAACTTCCACCGAGCATGGGTTTTATAACATCTGCCACATTTGGAAACACTGTCCCCAACATCTCAACATTTTTAATAAACTGCTTTTATCAGTTCCTGATGAGAGCTGTTACAATAATTTTCACACTGATACTTGCAATCTCTAGGATACTTCAGGTTTCTAAAATGCATTTTTTCCCTAATGACCTCTTGTTTAGCCTACTTTTTAAAGATGTATTTATATGCCATTTGGAAATTTACCAAACATTTTTTTTTTTTTAAAGGTAGGGTTACAGCAAACATAATTATTTTTTCCTCTGAAGACGAGACAAAAAATCAATGAAAAGCCAAGGAGATATGCCAAGCAGGAAAAATTGAAGTTGCCTATTATGATGAAACAAGCTCACCCACCTTGATTATAAAGTGTTAAGAAGAGGAAGCCCCTGACAAGTAATAAAGTGACACATAATTAAGACAATTCAGGGCAGAACACATTCTGACTAGAAAACATTCTCTCAGGCTCTGTTTCACTGTTTTGGAGCAATGAGAAAAAAAAAAAAAAAAAAAAAAAAGTAGCACTTTGAAAACAGCCCTATGAAAACAATCAATATCCAACCTAGTCTTCACTAGCTGGGAGTGGGGGAAAATTTTTTTGGGAAAAGGCACCCACCAGATTTTGTGTGGCACAGATTCCCTCACATCACAAACACAGTTGATAGTACAGACATGCCTGGTATGTTCAGCATTCCCTATCAAGCAAAGATGAATTAGCCGCAACAAATATGTATTACAGCTTTCATGCAGCAGTTTATGGATCTTTTTGTACCTCTGGAATTTCTAACCTTGAGCATATCATGGATCTACTAAGGTTGCACTGGTCTCAGATCTCTTCTTCAGATTATTTTTATCTCACTGTGAGGAACATCTCTGTGAGTTCTGAGCACTTTTACAGCTGCTAGGATGCTAATGGGAACTTCATGTGTGTACCCAGTACAAGTGCTCTCAGGGTAAAAAAAAAAAAAAAAAAAAAGCCAATGTCAAAGGAAGGTATGTAGAAGTCACCATAAATATGTCTTTGAATGTTTACCATCTGGAACAGTAGATTACATTTTGACAAGAAGCTGGACTACCCCGTGGGCATTGTCTTTTAAACAGCCCCATCATTATAAAGGAAGGAAAAACATGATTTGCTGTTCCTAGTTTCTCAGTAGGATTTTCTGGCAGTGCTAGAGAAACTTGTTTGTGTTTTTTTTTTTTTTTCTTTTTTTTTCTCTCTCTAGTAAAACAGTAACAAAACAGATATGTGTCATTAGCTAAGCAGTTTCTTGAAAAACATGGTTTTTATAGATCACCTGATCTATGATCAGACAATGCCCATGGAGAGGGCTACATCCAATCTAGGCTGTGACAGCAGCAGACTGAACATCTCACGGGGCTGAACATTGCTGCACCTTATCTGTCTTGGAAGACTGTGTGGTGGCTTTCTGGGCTTCTCACAGGACAGACTGGGAAAAGTGAAGAGGAAAAATCCAATATACATGGCATAAAAGGCATTAACACAGGCTCATAGTGTGTGTGTGTGTGTTTTTCTTTCTTTTTGGGGGAATGGTTGGGTGGTTTGTTCTTGTTTTGTTTTTCATTTTTAAGCTTGTAAAGTTTCCATCAGTTTTCATAGTGAGAAAGGGTGGACTGAGAGAAATATAAAAATGGTCAAATGTATTCACATAGGTCTTGATCTGGTCATACAGCCTTATTAGGGATTTGGCTTATTTGAATTTGCTGTGGGTCACTTCTGAGGACACACACTTACTAAAGGGTATGTTTGAAAATACATGCTAAGAACAACCCATAAAGGGGCCAAATAACTTCCTTACCGAAAAAAAAAAAAAATAATAAAAAATAAAAAAATGGCTTGAGACAAAAATATATGTGCAACTTGAAACATGGTTTTATGGGCATCGTTATACAGTTGAATGCCAAAATCACAAAGCACCAGCTATAAAACCCCTTGCTCAGCCTACTACTAAACAGATCTTATTTCAGAATGCATCATATACAGTATTATTTATAGAATATCTCACCTGTAAGTGGTGAGGACAGTGTTAGATTTCTTTCACAAGTAGCAGGCCAATAATTCATATACACCACAGGTATGTGAGGGTTAGTGTGAAGATCTGTTATAGTGTGAAAGAAACAAATCAGTTTGTTACTGTGCACAGGGAGACATATATACAGTGGATGATTTATTTTAAAAGGCAAACAACCCATTCTCTATTATTTCCATCTAGGTAATTTAAGAGTAAAACAATGAGAATATCTAAATTCTCTGATAAGCTAATGTACTCTAATTACTGATAACATTTCTGACTTCTCAGTTAGTATGCTGGGCTTCCCCCACGCTACAGACATCAATGAATTTAATAGGTAAAATTAGATGAAAATGATAGAAGAGTGCTTCCATAGCTAATTTGTAATTACATTTCTCCCCCTTTTCCTTCCCAAACATAATTTTTTCCTTACGTTTAATTAACACTTCAGATCACTTGTTTAGAATCTATAAATATAGTGAGACTTTAATGATCCATTATAGTGATGCTACTTAGTTTTCAATGACTTGTAAAACTTTCACAAACAGATCTGCAAATGAATTACATCCATCTGCTCTGCTGCAGCTGCAAGAGCAGCATTACATTGTAAGCTGCCTTTTCCTACTTTCCTGGTTCTCTCTTAACTTTAATCCCATGTGTAAACCAAACCGTCTCCCTACCGATCATCAGAAGCCCAGCCAGGTCTCTGTAAAGCAGCCTTCAAACTTTACAGACCTCTCAAACGCGCTCTCCAAACACTCTGCGTCGCCTCACAGCTGAGCCGCAGACAGGCTACGCTGCTCAAGCATCCTCGGCCAAACCTAAGAAACGCTCTGCCACGCTTTCTCCCCCCTCCCGACCACGCACTTTGCACGAACCTAGCGCAACACCCAGGCACTTCCAGCAGCAGAGCCAGCACCAAGGGCTGCATCCCTGCCGCTTGCCATTTCCCGGAGCAGAGCTCGCAGCACGTGTGTGCGAGGTGGGGGGGCCGGCAGGACACACTGCTCCGGGAGAGATTTTCTAATCTACACCTCCACAAGCGTGACCTTAGCTGCGTTAAGAGTGTTAGCTCTGCGCGGACAGCCGAGCATCAGGCAGTGCTCGCTGTTATCTGTCAGCCGTACAATAGCAGCATTGATAAGGCAGCAGCAACTGGCTTTGACAAGTGTGCTGGGCTAGCATTCCTCTGAAAACCGGGAAGGAGAAAGAAAAAGAGAGAGACGAAAAAAAAAAAAAAAAGAAAGAAAAAAAAAAGAAAAAAAGAAACAGGAGGTGCCTTTTACTTTACCTGAACAAAGTGTGGGGCTTTATTTTTCCCTCTGAGCTGCTGGAAAGGATTCCTCCCTCTTCTCCCCCAGAGCTAGGTAGTTCTTCTTTTGCTCGCAGCGCACACTTGGGGAAGACCACACAGCTCCAGCAAGGCTGCCTCTCTCCCCTAATCCCCACTCGAGTGTGATGACACACACTAACCCCAACCATCTGTTGAAACACGTCCTCAAGCACTCAGCACAGTGGTGTGTCAAGACGGGCTGCCCAATCCAATCGCTGGGGCTGGGTGGCTCTTAAGGAGCTGGAGGCAGAGACAAGGGCAGAAACTATAGGGCTGAGAACTCTTTAGCAAAGTAACCTGAGATTTTGAGAACGGGCTGCTATTGAAAAAAAGAGCAGAAGGGGGAGGTACTAGCGGGAAGGTAGAGGGAGTGGATTAGCCCGGTGGCCACTTCTCACAACTCCTTGTATTCCCAAGGGACCACTGGGACCCCCTCGCAGTGGCATGCACAGAAGCACAAGAGTAACACTAAAATCGTATTTATTTATTTATTTATTTATTTATTTATTTATTTATTATTTTTTAATGGCGGGTCTATTGAGGGCAATCTCCTCTTGAGGGACGCTTTTCTAAAAGAGATAAAAGACGCAGCCTGGGATCCTGATAAACTGCTAAGGCGGTTTGAACGGCGCTGTGACATCGGCAGCCCGGGATCCCCGCTCCTCGCCGAGCCGCGACTCTCCCGGGAGGCTGGAGGCAGCCCGGGGGGCGAGGAGCGAGAAGGGGGGTAGGCTGGGGTCTGGAGGGCAGGCATTCATACTTCAGCGGGGATATCTGCAGATCCTTACCGCAAACCCTTGCTTTCCCGCACTCCGCGTAAATGAACGCGCTTCCAGGCGCGCCCGCGCTGTGTCCGCGCCCCCCCACCACGCCCCCGCTGCCAGCACCCTGTTGCTTCCCCCCCCTGCTCCTCCTCGGGGTGCAGGCTGGGGTTCGAGGCCCTCTGCCCTTCCCCGAGGGACTCCGCAGCCCCGGCCCCCCTAAAGCCCAGGCTGGAGTCTGGGGGCAGCGCCTCGGCAGGTCTGGGTTTTGTCTGGGCTGTGCCTCAGTTTCCCTCAGCTCCGAAGCCAGCATTATCACACCTTCCTCCCTCTCGGGGACGCTGCCAGGAAAAATACACTAATTTACAGAAGATGTCCAGGAAGCATAGATAAGCGACACTGAAAAACTGCTAAGTGCCAAAGAAACAGTTCTTTCCTTTCCCCTCCCTGTAACCGGATAGTGCGGAAGAGAGACTTAAAATCTCAAGGGTTTTTACCTCATTACCAAGTGCCTGACTTGACACTTGCATTAAATCTACATTTCACATTATGACAGATGTTGTATTTTCTTTGAACTGAAAGGGAGGAACGTCGTTTTGGCATTAGAAGTTACTCTAAAAGTGTTAACATCCAACTTGAAGGTTTGCAATCGTGAAAAGACACACTCTACCCAGCAATATGAAAGCCATATGAGAGCCTTGAAATGTTGATTTGGCTTACTTGTTCTGTAATACCTTACACAAGCCAGTTTCTGAATCGCTGGTGAATGCTTAATAAAAAGTGAGATTAAAGAGCTGTGCTTTGTGCCCAGCTAGTAGTTACCAGAGCCGAGTTGGGGAAGAAAGAAGGAAGAGGAGTAACTATAGTCACGATTGCATTTGCTCAAATTCTTACCAAAAGTGATTATGTGGTGTCTGTTTCAGCCTATTAAACTGAAACTGCTTTCACAGATGTTGGGTATTCACTCAAACACTCCTCCTTAATCTGCTAATTCCAGATAAATAAGCAGCTAAACAATATTTTCAACAGTAATATGTGGCAAAGAAGGGATGTAACTACTGTCCCTGGGTTATCATAAGATTATTAATATTGCCAATTATTTCTTCAGGGCAAGTGTTTGGTTTGATTTTGTTTTATTCTAGCAGATTGTGGTCTGTAAATAGACTAGATAACCTTACATGTTTAGAAATCCCTGGAGACAGTATTAACTAGTTTCCATCCCCTTTAACTTCACTTACCACTATTGTATCAGTAATTCTGCATTAAAAATATACATCAGAGATACAGAATATCAAAAAGCCAAAAGAATTGTGCCGCATCATTCCATGTACTGGATCATTGCCTAATGTGCTGCTCAGCTCGGGACCGTTCTGTTTGGTGAGAGGGGAAGCAAACTAAGCAGAGTTAAGCTCTAGGTACTGCTAACCAACATGAAAGACAGTTATGTGAAGTACAATTATGTTGTGTTGTGTGTATACCTACACAATCTTGTGTATTATATCTGTGTATAAATATACATAAACGAGATACTCAACATTCATATGATGTACAAGCCCAGCTCTGTTTTTTTTTTTTTTTTAATGCCTGTGTAAATCAGGCATGCCTCTGCTGATGTCTGTCAAGTCACAATAGTGTAAAATTGACATGGTTAAAAGGAGCCCTAATTGCATGTTTTGTACACAGAAACACATGCATGTACACACTTATCTTCAAAGACTCTTCAACAACTTGAAATACAAACTTTCATCTCCAAAACCAAAGTTAGCAATAGCCCTCAAACATTGTGCATGATCATGTTTTCACATAAAAGCTACCGCTGATGTTGCAGGATAATTTAACCACTACTTGTATGACTGCAGCCAGATTTAGTTTGCTGTGACAGTTTATAACAGACTTTTCCACTGCTTCTCCTCTATCCAGACTGCCATCTGCAAACAGTTTAGATTTTAAAGGCTGAAAGGAAAGCTGCACTGAAGAACTATACCTGAAATACTGTTAAAATAGTACATCACAGAAACACGTTCTCAACTTGACTCTCGGGCCTGTGATGTCCAACTAGGGTCAGACTGGTCCAACACAGGTAAGACTTGTAATTAAGTAAATAATACGTTACTGCAAGTAACTCAGGACCACCCTAATATGCCATATTAATTTGAGTTAATTGCAACATCTAGAAATCATCAGTCCTGTTTTGTTCCCCCAGTTAATATATCCCTTACTTACTAGTTTTAATTAGTTTCCATGGTAGCCAGCAGCTGTCTTTAAACCAGAGCACTGAGCTTCTCTCAGCCTGTCTGGACTAACCTCATCACCTTTCCTCCAGCACAGATGGCCTTGGCAGTCTAGTTTTGTGTGTCTGCGCAGACATATGCAGACATTCACACATGTGCACTTCTGCTCAAGAACCTCATGTAACTCTGGCATTTTCAGCTCTTCAAAGTAATTAAAGGGGACTTTTTTTTTTTTTTTTTTTTTTTTTTTTGTCATGGTTCTTGCAGCAACCTCAATCTACCTCTGCTACCAATATGAATAAAATCTGCTTTTTGATTTCCTTGAACCATCATAAGTCCACCCTGGATTCAATTAATTTTGAAGTGTTTATATGGGAACTGGCAAGGCTCTAGAACGTGACTATAAATGCACAGAAAAACCCACGATAAAATTGTAGCCTGAAATGTGCATATGCAGGGACTCACATTGAGCTTGGATAAGATATTGGTCAGATATAACATACTGAATGACAAAGAAAAGGTAAATAGGGAGTTACCAACAAATGTTTCTCTCAAAAGATCCTGGTGAATGGCAGATTCAAAGAAACAAAAGAAAGACAACGAAACAAACAAATAAAACTTTTTTTTTTCTTCCCCCCCCCCCCCCCCCCCCTCCACATAGAACATAGTTAAGACTTGAAACTTCTTTCTGTAGGATGCAGAGAAGGAGAGTGTTCAAGTGTTCCAGTATTCAAGTGTTTGCACAAATTCATGAAAAAAAATCTACTCACAGCAAAATATGGACATAGAACTTCTTGTACAGGGAATCCCTGAATTGCTTGGAGAGGATTCTGGACATGTCATTTTGTGCTTGCCCTGTTCTTATACTCTACCCTAAGCATCTACTACTTTCCAGCACTGGAAGGTGTCAAATCTATTACACTCATGGCTTAGAGTGGTACAGATGTTCATCCTTTCTTATAAGAATTTAGCCACTGGTATTTTTGGATTTCATCATTGGGCAGTATAAGAGAGGTGAATTCCTCCAAAGAAATTCAGCCAAGATTTTTAAAGGTTGGCTCATAAATCCATATTCAGGAACAGAAGTAACAATGGTCTGATTAAAAGTATTGAGTATACAGCAGCTGCTACTGGAGTCAGCAGTTAACTTTACTTTTCTCTATATTTAGGCATTCTGAAACCATGCATGGGTTCATGCAAATTTTGGGTGCTAAATCCAGAAGAATATTCTATATAAAAGCCTGTTTGTCTGTTTCTTAACCTGGAATCACCTAAATTCCATAGACACATGGCCTTTTAAAATCATTCCCTGGGCACCTCTGTGCATTTCCCCTATGCTGAAAGCCTGTACCCAGGGCCAAGCAAGATTCAGGAATCCAGTACTCCTTCACTTCAGTCTTACAGATTGCTTTATTGGGCTCTCATTCTTCATCTACTAAAATAGAAGTATGGCTGCTAGTTCAGGTGTCTGAGAACCATTTATATATTTTTGGGTGTAAAATAATTTGCGATGTGGGCATCTACATGTACTCATTCCATATGAATCCATACATATGGTAGCTAGAAAAAGACTGCTTTAGAAATACCATGAGGGTGTAGTTCTAGACTCACAGTTACCTGCCCATGCATAGCTGTTGTGGGAATGAAGTGTCTAGCCTGCTTCAGTTTTTAAAAGAAACTTTCCTGCAACAGAATCAGATGGTATGGAAGTTATACCCAACCACAATTTATCTCAGGTCTACAATGTTAAAAATAGTCTCCCTGAGGCATAACTTGAAGAGAGATAGAGTGCAGGTGAGACAGACAAAAGTTCATAATTAACTAAATTTATCACAGGGCTTTACAATTTGTCAGATTGTTGTCAACGCTATCATTTGCCCCCAGAAGAAGATTAATGGTTGCAATGATCATCAGTCCCAAATTGTTACTTCATTTACATATCCTCCCCAAATACTTGTTCTCTTAAGTTATTGTTTCTTCTAAGGTAGCTCCCTTATTAGTACTTGCATAGTAATTTAGTACCAAGAAAAGACATCACAATAACAAAAAGACATATTTCATACTGTAGCAGGAGAGATGGTTAAATTTGTCTTTGTTTTTTTTTTTTAATATACCCAGAAAAAAAAAAAAAGGAAGGAAAAAAATTAAAATCCCACATATTTGTCATGTCATGCTTAGAGAAAAGAAAACAAAACCAGTAAAATTTTTCCAAGCTAGAGCCTAATATGACGATTTAATGCACTGAGAAACTGTGGTTCTTCTCTTCTCAGCTGCCAACTGGCCAAGAGTTCCAACTCCAGCACAGTAAACAAGTGATCAGTGAGTCTGGGAAGAGCTCAACGCACCAGACACTTGGAAAACAGAGGCAAATAAAGGGAGGAAAATCAACAGACTTAAGTCTGTCAGCACAAGGTAGGTGATCCCATGCTCAGTAGCAGTGAAAGTACTAAGGGGAGAGTATATATGGAGTCTACAAGGCTTTAAAGTGTGAGAACTCAGTGAGCAATGTGCTCTCAGAACTTATGCTGACTTCGCATTTTTGGACAGAGTTCAATTTCATTACTGAAAAAAAAAATGAGGTAGACCATCCAATACTTAACAAAAGTTGAAAAAATGCCAACAATTCAGAAAACAGAATGCCTCATAGCTTTTTGTGTTAATTATTAGTAAACTGATGACCAATGGCCATTGTTAAGTCCCTCCCTCTTACATAATTCTTATCTTTGTCCTTAATCCCTTAAAACTTCCAACCTGATAAAACTGCAGTGACAAAGAACGAAGAACTTAAATGACACGATAGTCAGTAAAATTTTCTTTATGAAGGTTCAATCTTAATGTTTTCCCATTTGAGTATGCCTTTCATTTTGCACATAATCAAGGTACCACTTGCCTAAAAAAACAACTGTATTCACAATGTTCTGGACAGAGCGTGGGAATACACATAGTTTAACATACAGATTCATTTTTTTTCCTAGTGAGTCAAGGAAACAACAGCCCCTGTAGCCCTTTTATTTTTTATAACAACAAAACATCAAGCAAATCCCATAAAATACTGGGAAAATATTTAATTTAACCTCTTTGTGTTCTCATCTCAAACATAATTATGATAATATTTGAAAACAGAAAGACCAGACATATTGCAGAACAATTTATAGCTCTGTATAGATTTTTCTACATAGTAGAAAACATAGACTATTCAATCCTACTCCTTCTGCCTTCACTGAGGGGAAAAGAGGTAAATAGGCTTGGGTTGATTCTTATATCTAACTAATGTCAGAGTTACACCTGCTAAGACAATTGTCCTCAAGGAAATTGGCATCTGATGTAAGCACCTACAAGCGGACAGGCAGACTAATACAGCTGTGATAGCTGGTAGACTCATTGCAAGGCTCTCTTGTCCATAAATCCTGTAGTCATAAGGCCCAATGTAAGCACATACAAAAGTCACAATACATTTCTGAGTGACCAACTGAGTGTTAAAGTGGTATTATGTGGGAGAATGCATTTACTAAAGCTAATTTTCCTAGTGTTGTCATGGGTGCTATTGGTGACACATGTGAAGGGTTTAAATGCCAAAAAACAGCCCTAGAAAAGGATGTGTATATATGTATAGGTAATATCAATATGGAATATATAATATCTAATGAAATATATATGCTGATATATAATATATGCATTCATAAAATTATTTATATAATTCTATATCTAATTTCTTGTTGCTGGGCCTAAATCAAGAATATAATACATTGAAAATATGAACATAATAAAGCAGAATGTTTAGAAGCATTACCTTTAGATAACAATACAAATGTAGCCAGTTATTTTATTTTGGGAGAAAAAAAAAAAAAAGAAAAAGTCATTAATGTTTATTCCATCAACCTAACCCAGTGGTCATTCCCTTTTTGAGTGCTAAAAGTCCAGGATATTTGCACACTATCTCCAAAAACTCTAGTTCATCTTCTGAAAAAAAATCTACAGCTCATGTCTTGTGTCAGTTAAAAAAAATGTAGAAAAAACTGAAAAAGTGAAGACAGAGTGAAAACTGAAATGTAATATTGAGTAAGTCCAAGAGGGATCTGTTAACGTGGAGTTGCTGGAAGACATCCTGATTACGTTGCAGGTCAGAAAAATCTCTCTAGATTTATAAAAAGTCCCAACAACAGGTGTGGGTATTGATGTTGATGGGGGACTTCAGTAATAAAGAGAAGAGAGATGTCATTTCTTTCTGAGCAGAGCCAATTTTAGGCAGATATAAGTGATAGTATGAGTGCTCAGTAGATCAAAAGGTCTACAGAGCAACAGTTTGTTCAATGACATTCACTGTCTATAATTGTGTTGGCATAAGGTTGAGGAAAGGGTAGGCAAAATTCAGTGTTGTGGAAGTGGCAGAAAGATTTGGGGTGGTGTGAGGGGAAGGATGGAAAAAAGCCATGGTGCTTTAGAGAACAAGTGGGTATTAGTCAAGCTTTAGGAGAGCAAAATAGAGCAACAGAGAAGCTTGCCAACTCTTGGTGGAGAGGTATAGAAAGGAACTGGAAGGTCTTTAAAGGTGGAAAGAGGTTTTGGAGGGGTTAGTGAAAGATTTAAGGGAATAATTGCAGGAAGGGTGTCCTAGCAGAATCTGATGCAAGGAGGTTTTGATAAAAGTTTGAGTCTGAAAAAAAGGCATTGGGCTAGCAGAGCTGGCTGGCTACAGCATTTTTGAGAGGCTATGTTTGAGAAAATACAGCCCAGACCCTTCCGACATTCTGTCCTTTTCTGTGCTTCGTCCTCATCTCTTACGGCACAGGAGGATTTTGCTCCCCATCCTAATGGCATCCCTCTTTCTCACTCTGTATCGATAGCTCTCCCCCACTGACCTTTAACACAGCAGTCATTCTCCATGTCTCTACTTAAGCAGTCTCTTGGCACTTCCTGGACTGTTTAACACTCAAGGGAAAGGGACATAGGAGAGAGGAAAAGAGCAGGACTGAAAAGGGCAAAGTGAGGCCTGTCTGGAAAAGAGTCTGCTGCTCCTGATGCCACCATAGTTCTGAGTAGTCCTTCAACCCTTTCTTCTCTTCAGCCCTCTGCCCTCTCTCAATGCAAAGCCTACTATGTTAGCAAGGGGAAACTCCCAACAGATAGACCCATCCGCTGTCCTTAGGCTGACACTTACCAAACCCCCTTCTTATGGTGAATATAATTATTATTTACTCTTAGTGGTAATTTAGGGCACTGAATCTTTTCCAAGCTGTGTCAGTGAAGTAGAATTTTAAAAGGACTGGGGCAGGAAGCTATAATATTTGCCTGAATGTTTCATTTTGTTTTTATTTAAATTCCACCTTTGGTTGAAGGGAGGAAAAAATATTTTTCCTCTGCCTTTATTCTGGTAATGATCAGTGGGAAGGTGGAACCTGGTGAGTTAGACTAGTATAAAAGGGAGAGCCAATCTTACTTCTGTACAGTCTTAGGGAATTTGGAATATTTTTTATAGTTGGCTCATTCTCCTTCCAAGGCTGTACATAGTTCTAAAAAGAGGACAGAAATGCCATTTTGCAACCAGTTTTGAAATGTGTTTTCATTCCATACTTTATTAAAATCAAGGCTTTTCTAACACTTTCTTCAGAGTGAATATTATCAAAGAGTTGCTATTACACTGAAGAAGCAGAATTCACAAAATATTTGCAGTAAGGGTTGTGGTCTGACGTCTAGTTCAATACTTGGCTCTACAGAGGAGATGTACCTCAATGGCAGATGCAGCCTCAGAGTGCAGGTTCACATTCAGAATATGCCACATTGCCATTGGAAATGACAATCCATTCTTTTCTGCTTTTTGCTTTTTTTGCTTGCTCTGTTCCCTTGGGTTCTTGTTTCTGCTGACTCCATTACATAAACATTAGCTGATCTTAATTTTTTTTTTTTTTTTTTTTTGTGTGTGTGTGTTTTGTTTTGTTTGTTTAAATGGTTAAATTTTAGTCAGGTCTCATCAGCTATGGAAATAGCTGGAAAGCTTGGGGAATGCTAGTGCTGATGCAAGAAAAGACACAATAACGTACAACCAAGGGAGAGAGAAGGACAAAAACACTTCCTTTCAGAGGTGGTCTCATCTTAGATGGACTTAAGTTGATCTTAAAATCACATTTTGGAACTTGCACATACTTCAGGAAAGTCAGAGTAGAGAAGCTTTATAACCATCTTCTGCTGAAGAATGGCACTAGGGACAAAAATTACTCCAGTAACGAGCAGTTCTTCTACTAAAGGAGATGAGACGTGTCACTAAGATGAAGGCAAGCACTGTTACTGGGCCCTAGCCCAGCTGTAAACCAGTTTTATCAACAATAAAGAAGTTTTCAGTAGAATAGAATTTGTTTTCCTCATAGTGATAGGCTTAGACTGAGAGTAGTGTCCCTGCCATGTTTCTTTGAGACGTGACCTTTCTTGTCAGGAAGAGAGCCTGACACAGGAACACCATAAGTAGCCTTGGCTTGTGCTAGAGATGCATTCTGCCAAGGAGTGCCCTTTAAAGTCTTCTTTGCATCTCAAGAAGGCCCACATGGTGTTTTCCAGATAAAAGAATATAAAGATTTTGAAACATGCTTTAATTATTTTTAAACCTGGCTGCACTCACTACTTGTTGTCGTGACTTTGCTTTGTGGGTCATAAAAATGGCTCACTTGAACTTTTTGAGAAGATAAAGAAATTATGATATACATATGTGACTGTCTATACACAAACATAGAGAGCTTTATCTTCTACTGCATTTAAGATTTTACTTTTTTTGTTGAGAAAAAGAAAAAAACATGTTTGACCCGTAGTCTTTCCAGAAGCAAGTGAATACCTTAATTAAGTAATCTTTCTGCTATTCCAGGTTAGCCTTGCAGTTGGACCAAGCAGACTGAGCATTCCACTGAAAAGAACCAAACTTATCTTTCTACAAAATATCATTTCATGCAAACAAATCTACAGCTAGGTTTTAAGACAGTAGTATGAGACTCATACTTAGTAATATAAATGATTAATAGCTGTGTCACAGCACTAATAATAAATATATACTAACAAACTGCTCATTAAAGCTAACTACCAATCTTGATCCCTGCCTATCCATGCTCTCAAGTAAGAACCCCAAAAGTGAAAGTGACAGAGATTTTAAATGTTTTAGAAATAATTTAAGCTAAATATATGTTCTCTGGTAATCTTTCTGTAAGGAATTTCAGAGAGAGAAATTTCATCACTGAATGACAGTAATTGTTGACGTATTATTGATCATTTTAATAATGAATAATTCCACTTGTGGTTAGTTACTTATTTTAATCAAAACTGCTTATTTTTTAATGGAGGCAACATAGTTTCCTACAGATTTTTTGCCATTCGAGTGTTATTCCTGAAATTAGCAGAACCGAAGGCAGTTTGTGTTAACTCTTTC